CAATGTGGAATTGTTCGTGGCCAGGTGGGAATTCTGGGAATTTTCGGGAATTCTGGGAATTTTGGGGATTTTTTTGGGATTTTTTTGGAATTTTTTTTGATTTTTTTTTTGATTTTTTGGAATTTTTTTGGATTTTTTTTTTATTTTTTGGGATTTTTTTGGGATTTTTTTTGGATTTTTGGGGGGTTTGGGGTGGGGCAATGTGGAATTATTCATGGCCAGGTGGGAATTCTGGGAATTTTCGGGAATTCTGGGAATTTTCAGGAATTCTGGGAATTCTGGGAATTTTTGGGAATTTTTTGGGATTTTTTCGGATTTTTTTTGAATTTTTTTTGATTTTTTTTTAATTTTTGGGGGGTTTGGGGGAGATTTGGGCTGGGCCAGCGCCGAGCTGCTGACGGCCAGGTGCGAATTCCGGGAATTTTCGGGAATTCTGGGAATTCTGGGAATTTTGGGGATTTTTTGGGATTTTTTGGGGGAGTTTTTGGGATTTTTTTTGGATTTTTTTTGGAATTTTTTTGAATTTTTTTGAATTTTCGGGGGGTTTGGGACGGGGCAATTTGGAATTGTTCGTGGCCAGGTGGGAATTCTGGGAATTTTCGGGAATTCTGGGAATTTTCAGGAATTCTGGGAATTCTGGGAATTTTTGGGAATTTTTTGGGATTTTTTCGGATTTTTTTTGAATTTTTTTTGATTTTTTTTTAATTTTTGGGGGGTTTGGGGGAGATTTGGGCTGGGCCAGCGCCGAGCTGCTGATGGCCAGGTGCGAATTCCGGGAATTTTCGGGAATTCTGGGAATTCTGGGAATTTTTGGGGATTTTTTTGGGATTTTTTTGGGATTTTATGGGATTTTTTTTGGATTTTTTTTTGATTTTTTGGGATTTTTTTGGGATTTTTTTTTGATTTTTGGGGGGTTTGGGATGGGGCAATGTGGAATTGTTCGTGGCCAGGTGGGAATTCCGGGAATTTTCGGGAATTCTGGGAATTCTGGGAATTTTCAGGAATTTTTTTGGATTTTTTTAGGATTTTTTGGGGGGTTTTTTTGGAATTTTTTTGGATTTTTTTTGGATTTTCGGGGGGTTTGGGACGGGGCAATTTGGAATTGTTCGTGGCCAGGTGGGAATTCCGGGAATTTTCGGGAATTCTGGGAATTTTGGGGATTTTTTTGGGATTTTTTTGGGATTTTTTTGGAATTTTTTTGGATTTTTTTTTGATTTTTTGGGATTTTTTTGGAATTTTTTTTAATTTTTGGGGGGTTTGGGGTGGGGCAATGTGGAATTATTCATGGCCAGGTGGGAATTCTGGGAATTTTCGGGAATTCTGGGAATTCTGGGAATTTTTGGGAACTTTTGGGATTTTTTTGGGATTTTTTCGGATTTTTTTTGGATTTTTTTTGGATTTTTTTTGAATTTTTGGGGGGTTTGGGGGAGATTTGGGCTGGGCCAGCGCCGAGCTGCTGATGGCCAGGTGCGAATTCCGGGAATTTTCGGGAATTCTGGGAATTCTGGGAATTTTGGGAATTTTTGGGATTTTTTTGGGGAGTTTTTGGGATTTTTTTGGATTTTTTTGGGATTTTTTTTGGAATTTTTTTGAATTTTTTTGAATTTTCGGGGGGTTTGGGACGGGGCAATTTGGAATTGTTCGTGGCCAGGTGTGAATTCCGGGAATTTTCGGGAATTCTGGGAATTCTGGGAATTTTTGGGAATTTTTGGGGATTTTTTTGGGATTTTTTTGGGATTTTTTTGGATTTTTTTTGGATTTTTTTTTTATTTTTTGGGATTTTTTTGGGATTTTTTTTTGGATTTTTGGGGGGTTTGGGATGGGGCAATGTGGAATTGTTCGTGGCCAGGTACGAATTCCGGGAATTTTCGGGAATTCTGGGAATTTTTGGGAATTCTGGGAATTCTGGGAATTTTTGGGAATTTTTTGGGATTTTTTGGGAATTTTTTTTGATTTTTTTTTTTTATTTTTTTTGACTTTTTGGGGGGTTTGGGGGAGATTTGGGCGGGGCCAGCACCGAGCTGCTGACGGCCAGGTGCGAATTCCGGGAATTTTCGGGAATTCTGGGAATTCTGGGAGTTTTTGGGATTTTTTTGGGATTTTTTGGGGATTTTTTTGGATTTTTTTTGGATTTTTTTTTGATTTTTTGGGATTTTTTTGGGATTTTTTTTGGATTTTCGGGGGGTTTGGGATGGGGCAATTTGGAATTGTTCGTGGCCAGGTGGGAATTCTGGGAATTTTCGGGAATTCTGGGAATTTTCGGGAATTCTGGGAATTCTGGGAATTTTTGGGAACTTTTGGGATTTTTTTGGGATTTTTTCGGATTTTTTTTGGATTTTTTTTGGATTTTTTTTGAATTTTTGGGGGGTTTGGGGGAGATTTGGGCTGGGCCAGCGCCGAGCTGCTGATGGCCAGGTGCGAATTCCGGGAATTTTCGGGAATTCTGGGAATTCTGGGAATTTTGGGGATTTTTTGGGATTTTTTGGGGGAGTTTTTGGGATTTTTTTTGGATTTTTTTTGGAATTTTTTTGAATTTTTTTGAATTTTCGGGGGGTTTGGGACGGGGCAATTTGGAATTGTTCGTGGCCAGGTGGGAATTCTGGGAATTTTCGGGAATTCTGGGAATTTTGGGGATTTTTTTGGGATTTTTTTGGAATTTTTTTTGATTTTTTTTTTGATTTTTTGGAATTTTTTTGGATTTTTTTTTTATTTTTTGGGATTTTTTTGGGATTTTTTTTGGATTTTTGGGGGGTTTGGGGTGGGGCAATGTGGAATTATTCATGGCCAGGTGGGAATTCTGGGAATTTTCGGGAATTCTGGGAATTTTCAGGAATTCTGGGAATTCTGGGAATTTTTGGGAATTTTTTGGGATTTTTTCGGATTTTTTTTGAATTTTTTTTGATTTTTTTTTAATTTTTGGGGGGTTTGGGGGAGATTTGGGCTGGGCCAGCGCCGAGCTGCTGACGGCCAGGTGCGAATTCCGGGAATTTTCGGGAATTCTGGGAATTCTGGGAATTTTGGGGATTTTTTGGGATTTTTTGGGGGAGTTTTTGGGATTTTTTTTGGATTTTTTTTGGAATTTTTTTGAATTTTTTTGAATTTTCGGGGGGTTTGGGACGGGGCAATTTGGAATTGTTCGTGGCCAGGTGGGA